TGCCTACGCTCCCACTGACTGCAGCTCAGATGAAGTGAAAGATGAATTTTACAGAAAGCTGTCCGAACTTCTTCAGAAAGCTAAACGCTCAGACATAGTACTCGTAGCAGGTGATTTTAATGCTCAGATAGGTAGCTTAAACCAAACAGAAAGGCATTTAGGTGGATATTTTAGCATTCCGGCACAGCGAACAGATAATGGTGACCGTCTGCTGCAACTGTGCTCAGACAATCGCTTATTTTTAGCAAACACAAATTTTAAGCATAAGGAGAGACATCGTCTAACATGGTGACCCCCTACACCAAACCAACGATGGACTCAAATAGACCATATTGCCATCAGTCATCGTTGCAGAGGGTCGGTAGAAGATTGTCGCTCATTCTGGAGTACTTGCTTGGACTCCGACCATGCCCTAATACGGGCACGCATCTGCTTGCGCCTCACTGGACGCAAAAAAGCCACATTAAAAAGACCCGTTAAAACTGAGTTGAGTAACGAGAAAACCAAAAGTAGGTTCCAGGAACAACTGAGGTCACACTTAGGTAGTTGTGAAGACGAGACTGACCCAGATGTTGCTTGGAAGGGCATACAATCAGCTGTGGAAACAGCAGTGACATCTATTAGTGACTTAAACCACAGAGTTGCAAGGAACCAGTGGATTTCTTCAAGGTCTGTCACACTGATGGATTCTCGCAAACTCGTCCCATCAGGTTCCGAACATGATGAAGAGCGACAACAAATCAGATCTAAGTTAAGAAAAAGTCTAAGAAACGACCGTGAGCAGTGGTGGGTAACGAAAGCAAACGAGATGGAAAAGGCGGCGACTATAGGGAATACAAGACAGCTTTACAGACTAATAAAAGAAACTGAAATTAATAAGTCAAGTGTAAGTGAGATTATTTCGGAAAAAGATGATACTCTCATCTGCTCTCAGTCCAGACGTTTAGAACGATGGGCGGAACATTTTAGAGAACAGTTCAGCTGACCTTCAGCTACTCTACAACTACCCTCCATTCCCAGACAATGTAAATGGAACATTGAAGTAGGTCCCCCAACTCTTGCTGAAGTTCAAAAGGCTATAGTTAATCTGAAACGAGGAAGGGCAGCTGGTCCAGATGGACTGGCTCCAGAGGTCTTTAAGAATGGTGGCCCAATTTTAGCAATTAGGTTGACTAATGTTTTAGCTAAGATCTGGGAATTAGACTTTATCCCATCTGACTGGTCGCAATCACTTATCGTCCCAATATATAAGAAAGGGTCAAAATCATCCTGTGACAACCACAGAGGGATTAGTTTAACAAACATAGTATCTAAAATACTGGCCTCGATAATTATCAAACGCCTAACTAAGACTCGTGAAGTGCAAACACGAGAGAACCAAGCTGGCTTTAGACCTGGTCGTGGCTGCATCGACCACATATTCACCATTCGTCAGGTTCTAGAACACAGGCATATCTATCGGCGTCCGACGATGGTGGTCTTTCTTGACTTAAAAGCAGCATTTGACTCGGTAGACCGCGAGACTCTGTGGCAGTGTCTGTCATTGAAAGGCGTACCTCAGAAGTACATAAACCTTGTAAAGGCTCTTTACTCGAACACTACTAGTCGAGTCAGGGCTTATGGCGAACTGTCATCTACTTTTGCAACTTCAAGTGGTGTCCGTCAAGGCTGTCCATTTTCTCCATTTTTGTTTAACTTCATCACAGACCTATTGATGGAAATAACACTCTCGTCAACTGAATTCTCGGGTATTGATCTCCTTCTAGGAGGTCCACTTATCGACTTAGAATACGCAGATGACATAGTCCCGTTTGGTGAAGACGCTGACAAAATGCAGTCTTCTGGTAGCACTAAGCAACAATGTCAGAATGTTTGGGATGCGCTTCTCTCCCTCTAAATGCAAGTTGTTGCTTCAGGACTGGTCTGCGTCAACACCTGAACTAAGGATGGAGAGTGAAGTAGTCGAACGCGTTGACAACTTTACTTATCTTGGAAGTCTGATCAGCCCTAATGGGTTGGTGTCTGACGAAATCTCAGCACGGATTCGAAAAGCTCGTTTGGCTTTTGCCAACTTACATCACCTTTGGCGGAGGCGAGATATCCGTCTATCAATAAAAGGACGAGTATACTGCGCGGCAGTTCGTTCTGTTTTAATTTACGGCAGCGAAACATGGCCCTTAAGAGTAGAAGACACCCGTAAGCTACTAGTATTTGACCACAGATGCCCTAGGAATGTTGCTGGCATCTGCTGGGATCACCGGGTAAGTAATAGTGAGGTTAGACGCAGGGTATTAGGGAATGATGGTAAATCAGTTGATGAGGTTATGAATCTTCATCGACTGAGATGGTTGGGCCACGTGTTACGTATGCCTGAACACCGATTACCACGACGTGCAATGCTAACCGGTGTAGGGGATGGTTGGAAGAAAGTTAGGGGCGGCCAAACCAAAACGTGGCATCAGTGCCTGAAGTCACTAACTTCTAGTCTGAGCCATGTTGGTAGATGCAGACTACTTGGTTGGAGTCCGCGTGACTTTCGTAACCAATGGTTTGAGACTCGGGGTGACATGGCTCAGAATCGATCACAATGGTGTCGGTGTATACACTCTTTGTCTTCCCTTAAACTAAGAGATTAAAATCACTTCATATCTTTCTTTCTACGAACTAATTCTTTTTTCCTATACTATATCCTTATTGCAACCTTTGACCTAACCACTCCTATGAATCCGGTGTCCATCTTGTTGTGTTAATGAGGTGTGGCAACCTGGACCGATGCACATATGTGCCTGGTCCTACGTTGTAGCTGACTGACTGACTGACTGACATAGTTCCAACCAACAGTCAGTGAATTTATGGAGCGATACTATGTTTTTGTTTTACCGAGCTTAGCTATCTTCTATTCTACTCCTAGACCAGATAACAGCGTACGTCGAGGTAAGTAGTGGTTGGGCACACGTAAAACATGTCCACCTCAGTAAGTGAAGATTTGTAACCTGATTAACCGATTTGAGATTTTTGCCAAGTGTCCTACCTCTAAACTCCGCAATCGGCAAACGACCATTTCACGGTACAAATCAGTCATCCCCAACGTAGAACCAGGCACATATATGCATAGGTCCAAGTTGCCATACCTCATTAGCACAACAAGATGAACACTGAATTCATAGAAGTAATTAATTCAATGGCAGTAATATATGAAAGGAAGATTGCATATAAGGATATAGTACAGAAAGAAAAAATTAGTTCGTAGAAAGGAATGTATGAAGCGATTTTAATCTCATAGTTTAAGGGAAGACAGGAAGTGCATACACCTACGCCATTGTGACCGATTCTGAGCCATGTCACCCCGAGTCTCAAACCATTGGTTACGATAGTCACGTGGACCCCAACCAAGTAGTCTGCATCTACCAACATGGCAAAGGCCAGAAGTTAGTGACTTTAAGGACTGATGCCACGCTCAGGTTTGGCCACTTCCTTCCAACCATCCCCAACACTAGTCAGCATTGCGCGTCGTGGCAATCGGTGCTCAGGCATACGTAACAAGTGGCCCAACCATCTCAGTCGATGAAGATTCATAACCTCATCAACTGATTTACCATCATTCCCTAATACCCTGCGTCTAACCTCACTATTACTTACCCGGTGATCCCAGCAGATGCCAGCAACATTCCTAGGGCATCTGTGGTCAAATACTAGTAGCTTACGGGTGTCTTCTACCATTAATGGCCACATTTCGTAGAAGTAAAGTAGGACAGAACGAACTGCCGTCCCTTAATTGGTAGACGGATATCTCGCCTTCGCCATAGGTGACGTAAGTTGGCAAAAGCCAAACGAGCTTCTTGAATCCTTGAAGAGATTTCGTCTGACACCAACCCACTAGGGATGATCAGACTTCCAAGATAAGTGAAGTTGTCAACGCATTCGACTACTTCACTCTCCATCCTTAGTTCAGGTGTTAACGCAGGCCAGTCCTGAAGCAATAACTTGCATTTAGAGAGGGAGAAATGCATCCCAAATATCTTGGCATTGTTGCTCATTGCTACCAAAACACTCTTCGTTTTATCAGCGTCTTCACCAAACAGGACTATGTCATCTGCGTATTCTAAATCGATAAGTCGACCACCTGGAAGGAGGTCAATGCCCGAAAATTCAGTCGATGAGAGCGTTATTTCCATCAGTAGGTCTATGATGAAGGTAAACAAAAATGGAGAGAGTGGACAGCCTTGACGGACACTATTTGAAGTTGCAAAATCAGATGACAGTACAAGGACTCATAAGATTTTAAAAATAAGTTTAGTCGACGGCGCACTTAACAATTCGACTGCCTATTCTTAATTCGTGCATTTACGCAGACCAATCCTCAGGTAACACTGTTCATAGGGGAAGAAATGGATCCCCAAACTGTTTGTATTGTTATTCAATGCGATCAGAAGATTAGATTTATACAGGGTTTTCAATAAACAAGACCAGGCTTGTTTAGTACCAAGTATATGTTGATTATTTATTAGGTGTTAGACAGGAATGATAAATGATTCATTAGGATGGTGAACTGCTATTAAGTGGAACATATATTACTTATATCTAGAACCCCATGACATTGAACGGGAATGTAGTAAGTTCGAAGGAGATTCGGGGCACCTAAACGAGGACATGTGTACAATACATAAATAACCGTTTTAGTTTTAGCCGTATCGACAGGCGATTTCATAACTACGGTAGGCAGTGATTTTGAGTAGTGACACTAAGAGATACATAATAGACTCGACTTACTGTGGCACTTTTCCTGTGGTCATCAAAAATAATACCCATAATAATACTTTCATTAATCTGCAGGTTTTGTTATTTGTTAAATTAGAAGTCATTACAAGAAGAAAGATCGTGGAAACTAACGGGATTAAGAAATATTAACTAGACAATGTTGGGAGATGTTTACCTATAACTGTTAGATATCTTTCTATGACAATAAACACTGTAATCTGATAATTTAGGTACAAGCTTACCTAAAGGCTTTGTATAGTGGTCTGAACCAACACACGTACGATGACGGTACGCAAATTATGAACACGAGAATAGCAACACCGAACAGACTTCCTCCATAATAGTTAGAAGTACCGGCAAAATATACCATTGCTGTGAACAAGTTCACTAACAACAAACAAGCATACGACAGCCATAAGTAATATCCAAATTTGACCACTCTTTTGTATTGAGGTATAATTTCTGTTTCAATGTTTTGATAAAAGCAAGGAGTACAGGGAAAGAAGGATGGTAGTGGAGGCCAGTTCTTAGCTGTAACACCTATGGATAGAAAAGGAAAGTGTAGCGTAGTGGCTTGTAATTTTACAAAATAACTAATTCAACTAGATAAAACATGAGTATAAAAATGGAATAACGAAATTAGGATAATTCAGATAAGCAGAACAGTCTTTAAGATTTATACTGATTTAGGAGTTGTAATAACAGAAAATTTTAAAAAAGGAATTCAAAGTTTTGAGTTTAAACTTTTGTACGTAAAAATAAGTAACGCTTTATGGGATAAAACCGGAGAGAATGAGTCATCTGTATCATAAGAGCATTTTGAAAGATACAACTTTTAGCATTATTTGCATAACTTTTCTGGAGCATTATACAAGATTACGACTTGAAATTTACACGATGTTTTATTCATATAGTTTTACAATGGCAACTCAAAGGGAAGTACAAACCAAACTCCTTAGCTAGGATAATAATCAACCATGTGCTCCTGATAAGACAGGCGTGAATGAATTTTCGCATAAGATCAAGTGTGTGTACGGTTGAATACAATAAATCAGGTGAATGGGTCTATAGTACCAAATGGTTAATAAATTGGTGGTTCATGGTAAATGAATTAAAGTATCTACTTATAGGTTTGTTGTAGTTTTCCAAGTTAACTTATGACTCCCGTTACTAAACATCTACAGATGGTGAAAAAGCGAAATTTTCTATCAAATAAATGTGGGTCAGGGGAATCTGACGATCATCAGTCATAATCAACGGTGCATCTAGCGGAAATTGGCATCGACCGAAGGCGGCACACCACAATGACACAAGATGAATGACAAGAAAATAATAATGGTGGAAAGACAAGACGGCAGGGAAAATGTAAATAAATAATATACTTGTAATATCCCAATGAGTAGAAAATTGGGATATTACAAATATATTATTTATTTATAACAATCTACCCAATGCTCAATTTATTTGAGATTATCAAATCAAACCTTAGGCAGGGAAAATGGTTGTAAATAAAGGTATGACTCGAATCAACAACGAAGCCATAGATGAATACAACTATAGATATAGTGAATAGTCGGTGCACACTCGTAGTTATAACCAGGACCTATATTTTGGTCATCTTCAGGAAAAAAGAACAAATTTCAGGTACAGATTTGAAGGAACATTCAGCTGACAAGATCTAGTTCCTTTAGAAATTGCTAAATGTGTTAATATCAACAAATAATCTTCAAAAATATGCTAATGGGTACGTAGATTAGCTTAGTGATTAAACGCGCTAGACGACTAACAACTTAGGAGAGAAAAAGATGACAAACCTCCTTGGGATACTGGCCTATTTTGTTCCTCTCTCATTCGTTGTTCCTCTTCTCTTCGTGCTAGTTCCGCAGCCTTTGCATCCAGCTCCTTCTGACGACGTTCAAGCTCTGCGGTTGTAATTTTTTGAGCTTGAGTAGCAGAATATTGAGGTGGTGGTACAGAATTAATGGTATGATTACCATGTTTATTATCCCCAGTAGCCTCGAAAGGATTGTACTTATCTAGTGCACCCGTATCAACACGAGAAATCTGAGGGTTATCATGAGACTGTGTCTAAAGAGAAAATATGAGGATTGACAGCACGACGAACCGGTGTCAACTTCGCCACTGGATCTGCAAAAGGATTCTCCATTTACAGTTGCCAACAGTGTCAGACAGAGCGCAAATTGACACCCGGTTGAATAGTTCAATTGACTATCTCAAATTCAGATTTGTGTAGTAAGTACAGGCCTATTGCCTATGTTATTCTTTTTCTAGTATGCTTCTGCAAGTGTCTTGTCTTCTCTTGAAAGAGTCAACTGAAGGTGCAGACACCACTGTTTTGAGTAACAGGTTTCAAGAATTGATAACTCGGTGCGAAAACCTGTATTTTATTCGTTCTTGGCTTTTCGACTCGCCCGCTTCGTCGCTTGAGATGTCCCGATCTAGTGGGAAGAAAAAGAGAGGATGTGTTAGATCAAAAACAATTTACTAGTATTCTGTGCATCAGAATCAGATCACATCTTAATCTGCGATAGAACAGAGTAAATAAGTCTAGTTTTTTAAGACTCCCTTGGCACGATGAACTCCGGAGTTCTAAAATCTCACGGGAAGTTGCCCTATGTACTTTTTCCAGGATATCCGAGTCACCTTTTAAACAGGGGCTTGGGGCCTGAACGCAGTTCTCAAACCTAGTTCTCACTTAAGTTGCGGGTACTGTGGTGAACATGGTAGTATTTAACTTGGTGAATGTCTGTCTTATAGCCCATAGGGCTCTAAACCCCTTAGCTGCGACCTACTGGCAATGGGCCGTGGGCTTATGATCATGACTCACTGTCACCCCAAAATTCTTGTGGTCCAGACCACGGGTACAGGTACTTCCCCTATGCTGTACCTATCTACCTTTACATCCCCAAAGTGCATGTAGATATACTTTGACGCGTTAATAGGCACCAACTACTCCTTGGACCAGTAAGTCCCAATATTTAAGTCTGCCTTAAGTGCTCATTCATCCGCAACTCCCGTTATTTCTCGCCAAAGCTTTACATCGTCAGCATATCACAACATTGGAGACTCTACTATACTTGGGAAATAATTCGCATACAACATAAAAAGTAAAGGACGAAAGACAACTTTACTACTTTTCCTACACTGAAGCACCGAGCAAATGATCATTTATGTCACAGATTTAATGCTGATAAAATAAGGATCATACTGAAATCATGAAGGATAAACAGACATGAAAGGATGTCATTACTGAGTTAAGAACTCGAAAGTGAAATGGTGTGTAGCGGTAAATAAACCCCCAAAATCAATATCTCCGTAAGTCTTCGACATTTGATGCTGACGGCATTAGTTGTAATGGACTCACCTAGCTGAAGGCGCTTGGTCAGGCATCCACACCAGAACACGAGTGGGCACACCGTTCTTCATATCTCCTATAACCGCTAGCCAGCCTAGATTGGTCACTTCGCGATATATCGATATTCTTTCGAATATATCTTTGAACCTCTTTGTTCCCGGCTTCTCATTTGACTGGGTCGGCACAATTCGATTATAAATGTTGTTACTGGTTAAATTGAAACAAACCCTAAGACTCAGGGTTTTAGAGTGTTAAAGAATTGGAAGCCAATACTTTTGAAATCTGTATAGATAGAACGAGTGATTCTCAAAACACCTTAAATGTGTACTACACAAACACGCGTAGTTTTAGGAATTGAGCGCATCGGAGGCGCATTACACCGATAAATGCGAGACAGCTTATTGTAACAATAAATTTAAACACAGATTAGTGATTACAGGAGAGATATGCGGCAGTCTACGTTGCTTTGCTGACGACTTTACCTTAAATAATATATGTTCTGGAAGCAAGTCAGATTGCTATCCCATCGTTGGAGATTTCAGCGCGCGGCATATCAACTAGATAGAGATTACAACTTCAGTCGGACGTTTCGATAGCTGCCAACTGACAACCATTATTCGGTGCACACTTGTAAATTGCATCAAATAACTGACATATATTGACTTAGAACGTGAACCGCCATTGTCAGTCTATCACTTTGCCCTCCATGAATCGACAAGGAAAGCTGTAAGCTGCTAAGGCTTAAGAAGCACTTCTGAGTCCAGAGTTTGTCAACAGACCACAAACATTTGAAGTTTGAATACAGAAAAATCTAGAGTATGTGTAAAACGACCAAGGCTAGAAACCCTGCCACTCACGGAAGATAGTTGGCATGCGATTTTCATACCTGCTAAGAACGATTGTTTTCGTACAACAAACGAAGAATTATTCGTAATGATGAGATTCCTACATTATTGTCGCGCGAACATTCGAACTAAAGCGATAATTAAACATCTGAAACAAATAGTTCTTTAAGTCCTCGACATTTAATGAGGACCTTGTTATTTTTACTGGACGCATGTAGCTGAAGTCACCTGGTCACGCAAACACACCAGAACACGAGTGAGTACGCCGTACTTCGCATCTCTTACAGCGGTTAACAAGCCTAGATTAAACGCTTCAGGGAGATTTAGGGAGAGGAACATGTGCCACTGAGATACCAAAGCGAGAAGGTTAGAGCAAATAATAGAACTAAAGAGGCATCACACTACTGTCAGTACCAGGAAAAGTTTTCAACAGTGTCGCTGAGCCACATGAAAAATTCATCAGACGACAGGCTGGATTCCTTAAGGATCAGACATGTACAGACAAAATCACGAAACTGAAGATCATTAATAAGTAACCAAGCGAATAGAACTTATTATTATACATCACCTTCCTTTACTATGAGAAAAAATTTGACAGTGTGAATAAATGAATTTATGGGACCACCCTTGACATTATGGTGTACCTGAGAAAACTGTCAACATTATTCAGAATTGATGCGACGGACGGTGCATGGAGGACAGCTGACAGATGCATTCCAAGTGAGGACCAGCTTTCCTGCAACTCAAAACAACTGTCAAACAGTATCAAAGTCAGAATCTTCAATACGCACGTCAAAACAGTTCCACTGTACAGAGCTGAAACGTGAGGAACCACTACAACCAACATCAAACGTGTTCAGGTATTTATAAACAGCCGTATATGCAAGGTGATTCAATTCTGTTGATTAGACATCATCGACAACAACCAAATGTAACAATGAACAGACCGTATTCCAGCTGATAGTAAAATTAGGAAAGGACGTTGAAGATGGATAGGGCATATATTGCAGGAATCATGAAAAGGAAAGTGCTAACTTGAAATCTTAAAGAAAATGTGAGGAAAGGAAGAACCAAGAACACAACGAGTTGGGACTTGGAAGCAGATATGAAAAGGATGGATAACAACTGGAAAGGAATGCTCTGGAAAGAGTTTGATGGAGTATGCCTGTGAGCGACCTGTGCTACTCTACGAGAAGTAAGAGATGTAGGCAAATGTTACTCATTTTATTTATGCTTTTGTTTATTTTTCCATGCTGTATTTTTTTACCTGCCCATAATCTTGCTGCTTTTAGGATTTCAAGCCAGGGATTTTCTTGTAATGTGTGAAGTGAAGTGTATCTTATCCACCTTGAGTGTTTTTTCTTAACTTCCTCATCTGTAGCCAGAAGCTTTCCTCTATCCTACCAGGATATGTTGTTTTGATGTTAAATGGTCAGCCGGTGCGGACTTCTTGCGTCAAAATATGAGAATGAATACTTGTATTTTCTGGTGAAGTTTGGGGTAGATCAATATTCAGTTCCATGTGATAGAACCAATTTAAGGTTGCAGATCACCAACGTAGGTAATTTTGGTCGATGATCGGGAACTAACTCGAGTCAGACGGTGCTAACATGATCTCCCTGATAACGTCGAAGTCACATCTCTCAGTTAATTTTCTGCTTTGATTACGTGTGGGTTTCAAATAAAGTCAACATGACAAAATAAAATGGATCATAGTAGAAGTATTTGAAATTTTCAAGTACTTATCGACTGCTTAGTATTCATTCAGTTTAGTGAAAAATAATCTTGTTTGAGTTCACAGTTTTTATGAGCCAACCTTGAGTTATACATTCATATCAATTTGTCATGTGGACATATCTCTTTATATTTTCACGTTATTCATGAATCGTAAGTGTTAAAGAGGAGCAATGACGACGAAGATTCTCGAATACTCAATTTATAAGGAATATGAGATTTGAAGAAATGAGCTGTTTGGCAATGTAACATTGGACATTTTAAGGAAACAAGGTGGCATTTCACTGAGCGCGCTTTATGAATTGCCGTTAATATATCGTGGTCAGTTTTATAAAATTTATAATAAAACTATTTTGACACTTTACAACAGATCACAATATGTCCTCACCTTTTAGTGGCTTCATATTCAAGTTCTTCACTTGGATCTAGTTTTTATTATTTGTTTAGTCAGTCCGATATTATACAAACTGTTCTACTCTATTTGTTTACTGATATATATTCCTAATGAAAGCATTGTTTTTTGTACATGGTGGGATATTTATCCATGAAAGAGGGTGAGCGGCGTTAATGCTTATGCATACTGATGAAGAGGGCCTCGTCTTTATTTTGAACGTTTTTTATCAGTCATATGACTACTATATAGTATGACTGATTGTTATGAAAGTGCGTAAGTGTTGCGTAAGAGTCAAGAGCAAAGGGCTTAAGTTTTCCGAAGCAGTTCCAGCTTTGTACAACTACCCCATAATTTTATAATTTTTGAATTGTTTGTCAAAGTTATAGATGGTATTAGGTTGGTGAAAGCAAAAGTGTCACACATTTTAGCAACGTTTTCAGTGAAGGAAGATAATTGATTTAGTGGTTCATAGTCCTATCTGTGTATATATGTATATTTATAAATGAAGGTGGTTGTTTAAGCATCATAGCGACTAGTCAAACACTATAAGGTTTCTGACGTTATATTTAAACTAGAGTGATCATCTGCTGGGATCAGCCATGGTTACACCCAGCCCTTAAAATCTAGTGACCATCTCAGCTTAGGCGCTAACAGTTGAACCGCCGTCTTTAAAGATCTTCGAAGTTAATCTATCCGAGCCCGCTACACTCTCGGTTTGTAGTGGTTATGGCCTTTTCTGCCCCATTGAGATTAAGGAGACTTGTACAAATAATCTATTCAGGTTGTTTGGATACGGGGTAATTGATGGGTAACTGAAGTTCAGTTGGGTTCTTACTCAAAATATTCTACGCATTGGCCTAATTTCCTAGATTCGAAGTGAACAGTGGTTTTGTGGCCATATCGCAACACATCTTGTATTAAGAATTCTCTCCTCTGAGGTGCTAGCCGAAGAATTGCAAGCTCCTGTAATTGTGCATAAGTATAAATATACTCTCCAAATTCTTATTTAATTTACCACTTGTCTTTAAAGTTAAGCGCAAAAGACATTTGGAAAGTAGTGTTGTCCTGTTTTGTCGTATCTAG